CTCCGGGTATCTCGTTTCTGCTCCCTGCAATACTTTACTAACATAATAGATGGGTCGTTGAACCCGATCTACTTCCTTTATTAGTACCGAACTGACCACCTCGTCGCTTGCCTAGAGGTACAGTTCTAAAACATCGCCCTCCTCGGGCTGAGTTAAGGTCGGCACACTAGCGAGGTATTTCTTGAGCTCGTCGAACACGAGCTGGCAATCTTGGGTCCATTCCAACCCTTTGCTCTTAATTGCCTTAAAGAACGGCAGACAGCGGTCTGCCGATTTAGACATGAAGCGGCTCAAGGCGGCTATGCGGCCATTCAACCTCTGAACCTCCTTCAGCTTCCGGGGTGGTCTCATATCTAAAATGGCCTTAACTTTATCCGGGTTGGCCTCGATGCCGCGCCGGTTAACGATGTATCCTAAGAACTTGCCCGAGGTCACACCAAACACACACTTGTTTGGGTTCAGTCTTATAATAAACTTCACAGAATTTCAAAAACAGAATGCAAATCTTGTATTAATTCATGTGAGAATTGAGTTTTAACGACCATGTCGTCTACATAGCATTCTACTTTTCTGTCGATTAACGGTGCAAACAACTTATTTACGAGCCTTTGAAAGGTTGCCCCTGCATTTTTCAACCCGAAGGGCATAACCTTGTAACAGTACAGGCCGAACTTCGTGATGAAGGCAGTCTTCGCTCTTCGCCTTGCTCCGTGGGTCGCTCCAGTTCGAGGTCATCGGCCACCTTGGTTTTCCCCTTCAGGGCGGCAACATAGCACTTGCGGGACTCGAGCTGGTCGCCCCGCGCTACTCCCACACCGAAGTCTGTTGGGAACTTCATAGCCAAATGGTAAGTGGAGACCACTGCCCGTAGGACATGGGTGATCGGTCGACCTATTATGGCATTGTAGGGGGAGGGGGTCGCGACCACCAGGAAGTTGTGTTCGAATCTGACCACACAAGGCCATGTGTGGACCTCTACAAGTACTGCTACTTTCCCAAGGGGACGGACTTCTTCTCTGCTGAAGCCCACTAAAGGTCTGTAGGCTTCAGGTCGCTTCTCTGCAACTGAAGCTGGTCAAACGTAGCTTTGAAAAGGATGTCGGCTGAGCTGCCTGAGTCCACGAGTACGCGCCTGACCTCGAAGTCGTTGATTCTTAGCTTTATTACGAGCGCATCATCATGGGGGTAGTGGACCCCTCGTGCATCGTCTTCTGTGAAGAAATTTGGGTCTCCCGTCTTCGGCCGCTTTGGGCGGTTCTGCTCTTCCCGGGTGGCCTCACGAACTGACGTCCGAACTGCTGCTGAAGTGCAACCCGCAACGATCGAACTTCCCACTATCATGTGGATGGTTCCCCGAATTGGCCTCTCCTCCGGAGGTTGCCTCTACGGTTGTTCGGCCGGCCTGCTGCTGGACTTGGGAGCATCTTTACCGTGCTCCCCTTGTCGACCCGCTCTATTACTATTGTTATTATTATTTTGTACAAAGTTTCTCAAATATCCGCGACGGATGAGTTCCTCTATCTCGTCACGGAGGTTTTTACAACTCTTGGTACTATGACCGTGATCTTTGTGAAAACTGCAATACAGACTCTTATTTCTTTCATTGGGATTCCCCCTCAGACAGGGTGGCCACTTCACGTACGAGGCGTCCTTGATTTCCATCAGGATTTCGGTCCGCTTCTCGTTCAGTGGGGTGTAATCAGCTCGATCCGCTACAGGAGCTCGGAACAATTGACCCGGCTTTGCCCCCCGAACTGTTTCCTTTTTCTTTCGGCTGTCCCCTTGACTGGGAGGCTCTCCTTCTCTCTTTCTTTTTTCAGGTGCGCCCTCGCCCTTCTGGTTGATCTCCTCTTCGGTGGCTATAAACTTGTCTGCAAGCTTCAGAGACTCGGTTATGGTCGTGGGTTGGTTGACGACCATATGCCATTTGAACTTTTTATGTGTCACACCTTTCTTGGTTGCTGCAAGGCGTACGGCGGGGTGCAGGCGCGCTATTTGCATACAAGCATTGTTGAACTGCTTGATGTACCGGATGGACTCTCCCTCTCTTTGTACTATGCTGAGGAGGCTTTCTTTAGTTCGCGGGCATCGTTTACTGGTGACGAAATGGGACGTGAAGGCTTGTGCGAACTGCGCCCAACTTTTTATCGACCCGGGTGCCAAGTTCCGGTACCACGTGCGGGCTGCTCCCCTAAAAGTAGTGGAGAAGGCCACGCACATGCACGACTCACTGGCTCGCGCCAGGTGCATCTGTGACTGAAAGGCATCTACGTGATCATTCGGGTCGAATGACTCGTCATACTTGTTAAGAGGGGGGGAGCTTGAAGTCCTTGGGCATTGGGACTACTAGGAGTTCGGAAGACAGGGGGGACGGAACCAAGAGGAGGGGAGCTTTGACTTCGACCGAGCTTACCTCTTCTTTGCCCATGAGCTCGGGCAAATCGCGGGTGACAGATCGGCGAGCTCGGCGGCGGCGTCTCTACTTCTTGGTGGGCTCGGCGTTCGTGCTGCTCACCTCTGTGCTGTCTGGAATGGTTTGCGCAGGAAGTAGCCTGGTTTGCTGGTGATGGCTGCGGACAGAGGGGTCTCGCTTGGAGTCTGTTGCCAGGATCTCGAACCGGTTTTCAAGGATCGGGGTTCCAAACTTCGACTGTCAAGGCGATGTAGACCTGCCGAGTTGGGGTCCTCCTGACCTGTCCGCCCGCGGCGAGATCGGGGTAGCCGGTCTCTCCCGTCTGCCGCGGGGGGAGGCCTGATTTTTTGGGAGATTTTGGGGGGCCTCTCCTTGGCTGGAGGGACGCTCGTTCTGGTGGCGAGACTTGGCTTGCTGCGAGGCTGGGCGCTGAGGCGGGAGCTGAGGCTGCTGAAGTTGAGGTTGAGGCAACTGGGGGAACTGCTGCTGATACTGATATTGGGAGACCTGGTGTAGTATGTGTTGTTGATAGAGCTGAAGTTGCTGGAACTGTTGCATTTGGGCTTGCATGGCCTGCATGCATTGCATCAAGTCTTCCAGCTAGATTGAGCTGGCCGCTGGGGGCACGACCGAAGGGGTGAACGTCGTTCCGACTATAGCAGGGAGTGGGGCGACGGCAGGCGCCACTGTGCGAGGCACATTCAAGCTGAGGATTCCGTCCGCTGAGAGGGGGACGCTGAACTGTCTGATACAGACAGTAGGAAGCTTGGGTTGTTCCCTGGAGTTGTCCATTTTCGTGCTTCGTCCGATGTTGCTAGAGAAATCCATGAGCGTTGGATTGTTTCGAGGAGGATAAGAACTGAGGAAGTTTAGAGAGAAAGGCCTTTTGAAGTGTTTCCCATAGACGACGCCAAATGATGTAGCACAATCCGGTCACTCCTAACTGGCGCTCGCGTGGCTCCTGAGAGGTACCTGAGACGAGGGAAAAAAGGAAGAACTCCCGAGGGGGTTTCCTGACGGGAACGCTCCGATGCTTAAGTTAGTATTGTGTGCAAGAAGCAAAAGGAGAACGAATGCTAAGAGTGAGGATAGCGTGTTATCACTATGTTCAGGAGATCAGAGATTCAAGAAGAAGTTTTCTTTCTTCCCTGAGGGCTTTTATAGGGACATTCATATTAGGTCGGGCATAACTGCCACTGGGCTCCTGCCATGGCCGTTACCTGGCAGGGCTGCGCGGGTGGCCGTTGTGGTGTACGCTTCGCCCGGATGAGTGACACGTTTCCAAAGTGGCAGGCACGCCTTTGCCTATCGAGAGATGTGGACGCAGACTGTTGAAGGGACTGGGACTGCACCGTCAGTAGAGGATATGGCGCAGTCTGACCGGTACGGTCTGTCAGTTGGAAGCTTCTTGGAGGGCGCTAGTGCGGCTCGTTTGGGAGCTATCTCGTGGCGAGCTGGGAACGCTCCAGGATTATCCTTAGTGAAATTGGTCATCAGAATGACTTGTCTGTTAGGGAGCTCGGGCAAGCTAATAACTTTAGCTCGCGAGCTACAGTTGCCTTGGAGTATCTCTTAGAAGATCACGAGGGTAGCGGACTGCTTCGTGGGCCCGTCACTTAGTCGTTCCGGGCTCCAACGCTAGGCTGTCGCTCATGCTAAGTCGATGACTACGTGTCACCGTTTCATAGGTTGGGTCAAATCATCATTCATCAATTACAAATGCAAATATGTAGAGTGCAAAACCTTATATTTTGTATGTATTTATATTGTACATATTTGCATTTGTACACTTTCCAAATTGTTCGGTTGATTATCAAACCATTATCAATGTTTGCTTGGGTTTTAGATGGTGCAACCATGTATAATTTCAATGAGTTAGATACTGTTCAATACCTCAATCTAGACATCTCATGACTCAACTGATGCCCATGTCCAAAACAGGTCCGCTGCTATACATTGGGTTTGAGTGTTGAGGTTTGAATACCAAGGACTTTACACTGATTGTAAAGCCATGCTTAAGACAGTCAATATTCAATTAATGTTGGACTCAATTCATGTTTATGGTCTCGATTGGCTTGGTACTGGGGTCTTGTCTCACGGCCAAAGTACAGGGTCTTTGTCACAGACACCATAATATAGGCGGTTCTTTGTAATTTAACCTAATTATTAAAAAAGTATACCAATTTCGATGGTCCAAAAAAAATGTAACCATGTGTAAAGAAACTAAAAAAGCTTCTATATGTTACAAGTAAAAGGGGCCAGAAGAAAGGCGAATGCAATTACAAAAAGACATGGATTACAATAATAGAAGAACAACTTGAGGACCCATAATCTATTTATTCTTTTCTTTTTTTGAGCAAATACCCCTAATTTATTTTATTTTATGCTTTTTTTCCATTACTCAGTAGAGTGGACTTCAACAGACGTATGACTCGAGTTGACCTATACATGAAAAGCCGCTGATGACATGTTGTTTCAATTCATAATATTTATACTTTAATACATGTCAAGGGCTTGTTTGTTGCTGAGCCTCAGCTGAATTGCTCCACTCATGACTCATGCATTACTTATTTCCTACCAAAAACAAAAATAAATAAATAGAGGAGCAAGTTCTCAACCTCTCCCCTTTTCATCGAAGTTTCGGACTTCGGAGTCATTTTCTTTTCGTTGCATTTCGCTGCATTTCGCTGCTTTTTTCTTTTTTTCTCTCCTTCCAACCGGCAACAGCCCCCACCCTTGATCATCCCCCGTCCCTTCGCTCCCTTTCCTTCCCACTCAAATGCCGCTTAGGGTGAACAAGATCTCGTGCAATGCTCGTAGCTTCGAATGGAAGATCGGAACATACATCCTTGTAGGATATAATTATTGAGCTCGGACGCGATTGATCCACCAGTTGATGCTTCTCTCCCAATTCTGGCGCCATTTCTCCAATGGACTCGATCTGGAGTCACAATGGCGTGCCTGACGCTTGGCACTTCTTCATTGCTATCTACTTTGCCTTTGGTTTTGTTGCAGCTAGGTTCTTCTTGGACACCTTCATCTATCGCGTAAGAATCCACTGTCATTTCCTTGTTTTTCTTTTTTTCTACATCCCGTAGGTGTGCTGATGTAGGTTCTTAGTAACCTTTGTTTGATCTTTTTTGGGCTTTACGGATAAAGAATCACACATTTTGGTTCAAAAGATGTGTGTTTTTTTTTTTTTTTCTGGTTCTTTGGTCGAGGAGGGACCAGTTCAAGACCTGATGATATCTGCCCAATTAACTTTAACCCAGAAGGTGCATGCTTGCTTTCTAATTGGGGTTCTTCAATTGTATATATCACATGCGCCAAATGTGCTCGATTCAGAGAGTATAGTCAATCTTTCCACCAAAGGAAGAAGAAATGGGATGATACGAAAGAGAATGGTTCTGTTATTCTGTCGCTCTCCCTTTCAATCTAACATACTGCTTAGAACTATTTCACATAATGGCTATCTTTGGTTTTAATTATTCGCTCTTTTAAACTGATTTTACCGTGAAGGAAATCATCGCTAATGTCATTGGTAAGAGCTCCTGTCGGGGAGCTTTCTTGGTTGCTTTAGTTGCTTTCTATTGCATGTAGCTCTGATAAACTTGAGCTTGTTATTTCCGTTGCCATTCATGAAACTGCCACCTATAGGCCATATCTAGCTTTTTCTTGTTTGCTTTTACGAGTTCCATTATGTGGTTGAACACGTCATTTTCATTGTAGTGATAGCTTGTCATTAGTGACTGTTGTTGCGTCCTTCCTTTACGGAGAATACAGATAAGGTCGAGCTTGCATGCATAAGGTATTTATAGCATCAAAAAGTTAAATATCCAACCGAATCAATTATAAGTTTACCATAAGAAAAATTACTTGTTCAAGAATCTCGACAGCAGTTCTTGTTATACTGTTAGGTTAGTAGGTCAAAGTGAAGCATGGAAGAAACCAAATCAATGGAGGTATTCTTCACCAAATGCTCCATGATACAAAAGCAGAAGGGTGTCATTGGTCCACTTGATTGGTATTACATCTCGAACCAACTCGACAAAATCTAATCCCAAAAATCTGGGAATTTTGTTTTTCCAGTCCTTCTAATTAAGGACCATAACCTGGTCAGTATAATCTTCCAAATTACTTTTGAGTTGCAAAATCATAAAATCAACATTTTGCTCGGACAGCCATCCTTAACAGATGACTGACTATAGACAACTTGTGGAGAGGGAGTATTGGTGTAAATCTTTGTGTTCTGGGCTTGGAGTGCACTGAAACAGTCAATACATTTATTTCTTCACTGCAGACTATCAGAGCGGTTATGGGGATGTGGTAGAAACATCTTTTGGGTGGAAGGGTCTGCTCCTGAAACTTTGGAAGCTTTCTTCCGTAGCTGGAAGCTAAAAGACTTGAGTAGGGAAGGAAAATGCCATGGAAGTTAGCTCCTCCTGCGGTGGTTTGGACTTTGGAGTATTTGGACTGAATGAAACTCCAGAATTTTTTAAAATAAAGGAGAAATAGTGGATAGATTAATTAGTAATTTAAAAGCATGGATGATTTCATGGGTGGGTGTGGAAAGCAATTTTAACTTTTTTTTTGACAAAAGCTTACTTTTAGAATAAGTAATTTTAGTTTCATGTACTTTGGAGTATATTCCAAGTGTACATGAGCTGCTGTATTGTTTCCTTTTCATTTGAATATACTTAATCTTAAAAAAACGAGAAAAAGAAAACCCAAGGAGGATATTGTAGGCCATGCATCCATTGAGATATTTTGCATTTCTTTCTTTTTCTCTTGACTGCTTCCCAAATTTGTGATTATCCTTATTATAGGTTGATCGGAGAGGATTAAATTTTAGTCCAAGAGGCTTACCATTTTTTTTTTTATTTCTAGCGAGTGTACCATTAGGATTAGTGAACAGAAGATACCAAAAAATTCATCATTGTTGCTGCTTTGGTGAAGTACATCTCTGTTTTGTCCACCCTACTTTGATTTTATTGAAACTGAACTAAGATACCAACATTGATACCTTTGAAGAATCTATAAGCCATTAGTCCCATTTATTAAAATCACAGGCTATGTATTCTTAGTTATACTTATTCTGATATGTCCAGGATTTAACACTAACATATGGCTTTAAACCTCCTGTATTCAAGATATAAGCTCAAAGCTTATCCTTGTTGTTGGCCCAAAAGAACATGTGTTCCAAATAAGCTTTCTATTCCAGGAAAATTTGAATTTAAAAAATGAAGAAAAAGTCATTGTTAATCTAACAAAACTCTAATTCAAAGTTGGAATAGGACTGTCCTGGACTATAGGAGTCAAGTAATACCAAAGGAGACTGTAGGAGTCAATGCAAGCCCAAATTAACGGTCATGTATTTCTTCAGTTTTATTCCCTTGGCACTTATTTTATTTTTTTGGGGGGGGATCAGTAACTGTTAGCTTTTACTTATTGATGAAAATTGAAGGTTTCTATATCAGAGGTCTTGCAGCCACTAAGATAGCTAGCCTTCTTGCACCCACTTTTAATAAATGGGTTATTAAAAGATCGATAAGCCTAGGGCTGTCAATTCACTCTGAAAGATCGATACCCAATTCAACACTGAATCCGATTATCGTCCCAGATTTGGATATCAGACCTTGCATCTGATTAATAATTGGATTGGATGTAGATTTAACCCCATCTAATCCGATTAAAATCTGGGTCCAATTAAAAATATTATTTTATGTATATATGCAGTATAAATATGTATGTATATGTGTGCATGTCTATATATATTATATGCAATTATATAGAGTTTAGAATTGATGAATTTAATATTTATATTTATATACATTTGTTAAACATGTATAAGTTAAAAGTAATTGGTCTTTTTAACTTTTTAAATTTTTTGGTCATTTTAAGCACAATAAGTTGGATGTGGATTAAATCTGAATCTGGTCTGAAATTTAATATGTCAGACTTGGATTGGATGTGGATTCAAAGGTTTAATAATCGGGTTGGATGTGGATGTAGCTGGATCCGATCCGATTACAGCCCTACATAAGCCTATCTTGTTTTCATGTTGGCAAACTTCACCTAAGGTCACACTATGTATGGGCCAGTTGCATCTTCAGAACTTATCTCTTCTGGGATGTGTGCAGATTCCCTTCTGACTAGCTTTAGCATCGTGTTATTAGAAACATCAATGGTTTTGACTTTTGATGCTAATGGGTGCTACTAAGACCATAGTTGCCAAGGTGATGCCTAGGCGACAAGGCACCCTTTGAGGCTCGCCTCACCTAATCGCCAAATAGTTTTGTACTATGTATTATAAAATACTTTTTTGTTCTTTATTTTTTGACATTATAATTATAAAATAGGCACTATTAAACTAAAATATTCATTTTGTGTGTTTATATACTAATTTCTTTTTATTATTTTCTTATTTGTTAGGGTTTAATCAATATAAACATTGCTAAATGCTGTATTGAACCCCCAAAGACTTTAAAACCTGAACCAATAAGTAAGGAAGAACTTAAAATTTTGTCTAATCAACACATTTTCTACTACTGCCTGTACTACTACTACACATTTTCTTTTCTTCTTTTCCTATAACAAAAATAAGGGTTCAGCCCCTATATTTTTTGAATTTTCTTTTCCTTCTTTTTCTTCTCATGAATATGTTGATTTTCTATACTTTAACATGAACTCTATACTTTTCTTATGAAAATTATGAATAATTCTTAAGGAGATATGGTTATGGTACCTAGGGAACTACCCTAGGATCTATGTTTTCTACATAAAATATTGCCTAGGCGACTAGGCGACAAGGCGCCCCCCTATCGCCTTGCCTCGCCTTGGCTTCTTGAAAAATGAAATGTTGAAAATTTGGCCAATATTATTTACCTTTTTCAAAAAAAAAAGAAGCCAAAATTCTATACTGACTCATGGCTGCCAACCTGACACAAATCAAGTCGTGGAACATGAAATGCCAAGTAAAGATCAATGGTGGAGTCATAAAACCATTATCTTCTTGTGAGAAATTTCTATGAGGTTAACTTTAATATGAATGTGTAATTGATGCATCTTTATCTTCTCCTAATACTGCTTAGACGTGCACCAAAAATTAAAATTTCAACACCATTGTCCTTTTGTTTTGGGAAGAATATTTATTCTTGATTTAGCTGGCTCTGGAAAGTGTTACATTGCAATCTATTTTGCTACTCATGAATAATATTACATTTTATTCAGGTAATTTTTGCCATTTATATTTTGTTACTTGATTCCATTCCACTTTCTTATGACCGTACAAAGCATAGACAGCATTGTTTAAAGTAGCTTAGCAGCTTCATAAAACAGCATTGTTCAAAGCATAGCATATATACAACTCAACTAGACTCAACCTTAATCCTAACTATCAGGGGTCAGCTACATGAATCCTGTCCTGCTGTTGTGTTCTATATATACCTCAATATGAGCTACTCTGCATTTATAAACAAATTGATTTCTGCAATTGAAGAACATGTCAAGCTTTTCTTTGAGAGATAGTGTCAAATCCAAGAACCTAATAGTGCTTCTATTGATATGCCTGCATATCTTAACTTTTTAATCAACATAAATTCTGTCTTTTTTTTATCACTCTAGTTTTATCGTGGTTACTTTACCCCTTTGGGTAATGTAATGTTTTTCTTTAAACTTAGGTGCAACCCATGTAAGCACTTTCAATTTGTTTGTCTATACTATTGGGTAGCCGAGGCTACTCTCTGCTGTAAATTATGTTATTCTTTATTAATACAACACTCCTCTTTTTACTGATAAAAAAAAAGAAATTGTTTGTCTATACTACTGCTTTTGACTTTTGTAATTTGATACACCAAGAACTGATCCTTTAATCATAAATTTTGATAATACTTCCTTACAATATTCTTTATTTTCCCAGAGGCTGGCTATTTGGTTGTTAAATGATGGTGTTTCTCCAGTAAAGATTAATGAAGCTAAGCGGGCAAAGATTGTAAAGTGTTCAGAGTCTATGTGGAAGCTAACATACTATGCTACTGTCCAAGCATGTGTTCTTATGATTATCTACCATGAACCCTGGTTCAGGGACACAAAAGAATATTTCAGAGGCTGGCCAAATCAAGAGCTTAAGTAAGTGTAAATTTTCATGTTTTTTTTTCTCCAAATGCTGGATAGACACATCTTATTTCTTGAGTTCATATGTAACTTTTAAATACTTGCTATGTTATCCCATACAAATTTGGGTTTAGAATAATGGAGGTCACTGACTCTGTGACGTGTTAATACCATATGTTCTAACTATACTCTTGAATCATCAACTTCATATTCAAACAATCACAAAAATTGATTAATTTTGTGTTGCTCTATTTCTTCTGCCTGCAGTAATCATATCATCCACATACTGATTCTCACTTGTCTCATCAAAGTGTTAAAATTTTCTTTTACATTTATTGGGCTTTCTAGCAATATTTTGCCTGTGTAAAATGATCCATTTTTTAATTAAAAACCAAAAATACTCACTTGTTTAATTATCAATTCTAAGCAGAGCATATTGAAGTGACTGAGTTAGGGTGAGTAAGAGGAAAAAGATAAGGCAAGAGAAGCTCATTGTATGTTAGGCATTGAAGCATACTGTCATTCAGTGTGTGCTGTAAAGTCTAGCCTGTCTAGGAGCTGCTTGGGGATTGGTTTCCAATTCCAAACAGAGTATATTAGAGTGACTGAGTCGGGGTGAGAAGAGGTAAAAGATAAGACAGGGGAAATTCATTATATATTATGCATTGAAGCATATCATCATTCTATATCTGCTATAAAGTCTAGGTGCTTCTTGGGGATTTGCTACCATGTGAATATATTAATCATCCCGAGTGAAAATAACAAAAGACTAGGTTCTAACAGTCAATTGTTTTGGAACCAGTTGCAAATACCCCTTGAGCTTGCTTCATGTGTAGGGAGCTTCAACTTTTCATATCAATTGGTCCATATTTAAAACTAGAACCTTGGGTTTGATCTTCTCTAAGTAGAAATCACTAATTGCAGATTTAGTCGAGTTTCTTGTGAAAGGAAAGAGGGGGAAGATGAAGATTTCAGTAGTAGGGAAGAAAGGAGAAGAAGAAAAGAGTAGGAAGTCAACCAGGATTGTAAAATTAACCCCAACCGCCTACCTCTCATTATATTTATACTTAACTTAAAGGATGAGATATTACAAGGATGCCCTTAGTAGGGCGGCTACTAATATAGCTGAACAGTCAACTTAAAAAAACATAAACTAATGGGCCTAAAGCCCAACAACTTCCTAACTA